TCTCAATAATTTCTATCCATCATACCGACGAGTTTGAAAAGGAAGCGACAAATTATCGTATATGGTTCGGTCACTCGTTATGGTCCGCAATCAGTTGCCAAGCGAGTGGTTAATTGTGATATTATTATCTGGTGTTTACACATTTATTTACTATTTAATATTTACACATTAGTAATTGCTAGTATTTACTATTTAGTATTTACGGTATTTTAACCCGTTCATTTTTCCTCGCACAACATATTTTGCACATTAATCTCTTGCGCTGAAACGTCGAGAATTTTTTCTCCCAAAATTGCGACATTTTCTCAGTTTTAAGTATATTCAAATCTAGCTCAGGCGAAACAATTATAAGTTTATTATTTCTCAATAATTTCTATCCATCATACCGACGAGTTTGAAAAGAAAGCGACAAATTATCGTATATGGTTCGGTCACTCGTTATGGTCCGCAATTAGTTGCCAAGCGAGTAGTTAATTGTGATATTATTTTCTAGTCTTTACACATTTATTTACTATTTAATATTTACACATTAGTAATTGCTAGTATTTACTATTTAGTATTTACGGTATTTTAACCCATTCATTTTTCCTCGCGCAACATATTTTGCACATTAATCTCTTGCGCTGAAACGTCGAGAATTTTTTCTTCCAAAATTGCGACATTTTCTCAGTTTTAAGTATATTCAAATCTAGCTCAGGCGAAACAATTATAAGTTTATTATTTCTCAATAATTTCTATCCATCATACCGACGAGTTTGAAAAGAAAGCGACAAATTATTGTATACAGTTCGGTCACTCGTTATGGTCCGCGAACCAGTTGCCAGCGCAAGGGATTAACTAGGTCGTCCCTTGATCGAAAACTAATTAATCCATTTGCATCCATAGCGTGTACATACGCTCAGTTTTTGTGATTCTTATCACCTGAATCAATTTTCTGGTTATTGTTACCAAAGTTGCATTCTTGGATGATATTGTGAGTTCGTGTGAACATAGTAGCATAGTATATATCATAGAAGTTGATGATACATAATTTCAATCTTCCGAAAAATTTCCTTCACCATTTTATAAATTTTCGATAATAATACTGACACAATAATAATTCGACGAATGTATTCGATGATAATGAGTGTCGACTGCCTCTATCCTCAAGAATTTTTTTCTTTCAAAATTTTATTATTCCTCCTTACGTCGTTATATCGTGTTATATCATACAATCTACGTTCATTATAATTATTAGCAATTATAGAAAAAATTTTATAATTTTACCTCAGCTGAATTTAAGTATGACGTCCACTTGCAGGGGACAATCGAGTGCTAGAGGCGAGAAATTAACTAACAGGTGAAAAACAACGCGAAGCAAAAGGAGCGTTATAATGCAAAGTGTAACAGCAGGTAGAGCCGGCAGAAAAAAATTCGACCCGATAACCGCGGGAATATCAATGAGTCGGTCGCATTCTCCGATTACAAATAGTCGTTGTTGCGACATGGTGAACAGGGTGAACGTAATTCGGGTTTGCTCGTTCGCGACGCGACTGTTGAAATAAACGAGCAACCGGACTGCTGTTCGCCAGGGGAGAACATCAGAGGCTGGTAATGAATGGCGGCTATTAGTGTCCGGTGCACGCTCGAAAATTGCTGGTGCTAACTTTATCACCGCGGTCAGTGAAACTGTTGATTATTGTCGGTTTAAACGTTATTGGACCGTGCTGCAACAAATCATTGGAACACGCATCGATTGCCCGAAAGTCCGAGTTTCGCGCGATTGCCCATTTTTTTTTTTTTTTTTTCACGCACTGGCTGCGTCCAATTTAAACTTTCCACGGTATAAAATTGGGAAATACAAGGCCCAATTTTTTTCTCTTCATTTTGTCCTTGACATCGCGGTAAATACTAACAACAATTATATATATAATATAATTATATATAAATACTATTTAATATGATTATATTAAATACTAACATCGCGATAGATGCTAAGAACAATTATATATATAATATATATAATAATTATATGTTATATATATAAATATTATAAATTACTAAATAATAATATTATAATATAATATAATATATAATATATAAATATTAATATATATATAATATAAAAAAGTATAATAATAATATATAAATATTAATATATGTATTATAATTTATAAATATTATAAACTACTAAATATATAAATATAAGAAAAATTATATATATAATAATTATATATACAATATAATTATATATAAATACTATAATTATACTATATATATAAATACTAAGAACAATTATATATACAATAGAATTATATAAAAAATATATAAAAGAACAATTATATATATAATACCAAAAATAATTAATATTTGTAAAAGTAAATTATATTTGAGCAATTATATTGGTAAAGTATTTTCGGTATTATTATATATTTCACGTGGTTTTTTCAGTTTTATTGTTGCATCACGCGATGTATAGAACATTATTTGAGTGATTGATTTATCACCTTCAAATCTTCTACGATCATAGCACATCTGCTTATGGACAAGTGTCACAGATCTGGGAAGATCCTATAGGTGTTATGAATGAATGATATTTTCCTTCTTTATATTATGTGATAAAACTAAATAATTACAAGAATACTGAATATCACATTGAGAAACAAAATGGTTGTTATAATTAAAACCGAAGGTTACTATTGGTCAATTCCATACACTGGTCTCAAATATAGAAACCAGCAGATTGCGCGAGAAAAGAGTGCAAAGACGTACGAAAATCTGAATCAACAGCCATTACTCTAGTAACATATTCTAAACGAACATTGTGAAAAAAAAACTGTTCGATACAAAAATCATTTTAAAATTAGCAAACAGTTTTAATCGTTCTCCTTTCATTTCGTTAGATCTCCAATTTTGATCTATCGTGAGAAACTGAGTGTCGAAATCTAACTTTATCAGTGTCGTTTCCTGTCCTAAATGACGTAATCGATCACAAGCGACGCTCGAAGGAATTTAACAAAAGATGGAAGGCATACGCATATGAATTTCGTAACAGCAATGAAGACGCGTTAATTTCTGATAAATTTGAAATTGAAATGCGACACACAGGTTGCTGCATCCCACGATCGTGGATATTTCGCGTGTCATCGACTCCTATACTCACGAATAATGCCAATCGGCACTGTCCTCCTTACGACTTACCGTTCGTTTCGAAGTGGGTGTTGCGCATTGTCAAGATTTGCAATGCGACGCGGCATGAATTTGAAACTGCGCAACTTGTCAATTGCGGCGATTATTCCGATGGCTATTCGGCCACGTAGCACGGTAACACATCGTTATACTGACATGATTTTTGTAACGTTACTTAACACGATTTGGGCAACTCGCGGAGAACTTTCTGCCTTTACTATTAAATTGCACAAGTAACTGATAATTAAATACAGATAATTAAATTGCACAAATAACTGACGATTCATTAAGGAATTCCTACGTCTAATAATTCAACGCTTTCAAAGTTCAATCATCACAAAGTGTAAGAGCATTCTCAATAATTGCAAATATATGTTTTATTTACGTTGTAACATATTTCATGTTACTGATGGGAGCAATAAAATTAATCAATAAATTATAGAAAATATCACACGAGCATTATTACACGAAATTAGAAGAACAGAAACATGATAAATATTTTATATACGTAGAAAAAGTATTTCCACGAGTCATCGGTTTATCCATCCATCAGTATGTCTCTGTGCAAACGTCATCAATGGAAACCGACGAGCAAAGTGTATAGGCACTCCGTGTATAAATGCGACTAATGAATGGAAAAAAAGCAATGGAAGTTATGGTGTCGCGACCTCGTTTATGCGGCCCCGTTCGTTCTCCATACGAGAACACTTGCAGGCATTTTTCGTCCTTCCGTCAAACAAATTACCACTGAGGAATGCAGGTACCCTTGCATCTTAAGAGTAACGAGTTTACCGAACCGGTAGCAAGCTTGGCATTGTAAACGAGAATCGAGCATAAATTTAAATCGCGAAAAAAATGTGGAAGGCGCAGTGACTCACGAAAGTATTCGAACAATCATAATAGATTTCAACAATATTGCGTTGGATGATCACCAATCTGAATATCCATGTAGCAATTGTAAGATGTTTTTTATCTCGAACATTAAGTAAAAAAGTATATTTTAAATGTAATAAGTAAAATGTAAGTACATAAATGTCGCTTAGTCACGCTAAACATTGAAATTCATTAATATATAATTGATTATTTAAAAGTTTTTACGAACATCTGCATCAAATACCTTGTAATAAGTAATGCTACATTTCAGATCAAACTTTACCACTACAATCGTGATAATGAAATTTTAAAATGTTCCATGCATTATATATATCCTAAGTAAGATAAATAAGACTCGCAGGTTCAAAACCAAAACAAAAACCAAAGAGACAGTGATATAGTGTAGATATATACAGAGAAAGGGGCTGATTAATTAGATTTATAGATTTATAGAAAAATAGTATAACGTAGTTTAAGTCAATTTAGTAAGTAGTACAACTTGGTGTGATGTATACAACAAAAAGAAAGTTCTAAGCCAGAAGGCGAGGATTATGTCTAACAAATAAAATAAATGTATATCCTACGTATGTATGCATCTATCAAAATGTCTGCAAGTGTTTGAATACTTTCATGAGCCTATGCACGATTAAACTAATAATCTCCAATGCGACAATATACATATATCATATAATCGCGAATTCGACCCGTGAAATATCGAGCGATAAGATATGCCGGATAGGCATTCTGTGGTGGAACGCCGGTATTCCTTTCACTAAAGTGGTTCTCAAAGATGAAAATGTGCCTGTAGCCTGGCCTGATCGTTGGAGAACGATACTTTACACGGTCGAGACCTCTGGTGATATACTTCTATCGTGACGCAATACACCTGCTATGTACATGTCTCGGGGGGGAACACATGAAATGTAAGCGATAGTGTAAACTACAAGGAGCAGACTTACCGTGCAGGTGTCGCCGCTTTTGTTCGAGAATGATCTCTCCCAGATAGCAGACATTACTCCTCACGAAGGATACACCAATTTCGTTCACGGTCTTCATGTTCGTTAGGTAAACACTACCGACAAAAGGAAAGATCTCGCGTTAGACAGAAAAGGAAATGGGATTGATACGAACGTGACTTCTCTTCGGTTTTGGGGATTTTAAGTTCACACGCTAGACTACATTGGTATTTTTATGTTTTTCTAAATTAGAAAATTATTGCGTGATCGCAGTAAATAGTGATCGTACGAAATCTTTTTTTTTTACAGTTTAAAAATGTTCGATGACATTTATATTATTATTATTCAGAGATTCTTATTCTTAACAACAATTCTTCTGCACTTTAATTTACTTGAATTTTCGACATTGCAGAAAAGAAAGTTTGTAAAACGTAAGAATTAAGTTACAGTTCAAAAATTAGCGAATTGCGTTACACTTTTATTTGAAAATTTTTGTTTGTTAGCTAATTGTTGAAGTTCCATTTTGTACTTCATAGTTGAAAATTCTATTTTGTTATTTTAGTAACGAAAGCTCGAGCCCTATTTTATCGCATTTCGAAAGTGTGCAAGTTTGAAGAGCGGCTCTAAAAATGTTATATACTCCCGTAAATTATGCAATTTTAATTCACATTAAATAGCAATAACTAAATCGCTAAATATCACTAGTCTGTTTTCCAACATGCAATTCATTACTCGTGTCTTAGTCAATTTAAAAATATTTTATTTTATTTTATTTTTTTTTTATATGTTTTACATGTTTCAAATATTCAAATTTTCACTTTGTACACTTACCATTTCTTCCAGTTTGAAGTTAGATTTCTAGATTCATAATGGATGATGGATCTTAAGCCGGTATTATTACCTAGAACCAGTATCGGTTCAGTACGTTTTTCGTTTGGTATAAATGATTCTATTTGTTTGTACACAATAATTGCTACGATGTCTTGTTGAAATTCAATGTGAGTGAGAAATAGTCTACAAATAGATTTAAAGTACACGAGTTAGTATAAAAATTAAGATTCTATGAATTATTATGAATTTAACTGTAAAGCAGAATTCTCACCTGTGGTACGAATTGAGTTCCTTTGTGATTAATTTTAAACAACCACCGCCTTCGTAAGAAAACTGGTTACAGAATTCGAAGTTATTTACATCTAGTATTGGAATTTTATCTTGAATGCTTGCAACATTTTTTAATATTCGAATAATATGCTTCTTCGTTTCATAAACATATTGTATCGGTTTTTTTGCACACTCGTTTCGATCGTTTTCATTTATCGGTTCAGGAGGTTCAGGGAAATATGTAAATTTTAAGTGTGGTATAGGTACTGAAATTTGTGGTTTTTGCAAGGATAGATTGTAAAATGACTTCGCTTCGAATGTATTTGCAGTATATTGCGCCTATAAAAATTTTGCATTTCAATTGTGATACAATTTATTAAATATGTTCAATTAATTTGAAAATAATGTGAAATATTTAATGTACCTGACCGCAGAGATAATATGAACTACCACTTCCATGGCAAAATGATGTTTTGAATATTTCATCTTCGTAAATAGGTACGTGGATATATAAGTAAGGAAATAATTGTGCCCAAAATAAGTCTTCCAATTCTTGGAATAGTTTAGATTCGAAAAATTCATGAGTCCAGCTTGGACTAAAAATCGCAACAGAAAGTCCCTCGTCTCGTATCTTTTGTAAAGCCTGTAAATCATAATAATTTGGTTGATAATTGATTAATAATTGCATAGCACAAATAAGCATTATAATTACGTATGTCGAATTAAATCCACCACCACCAGGACAACCTCTTCCCCAAACGTCCAGTCCTACAAAAATATCATGCATATCTCTATTGTGACTTTTTGCAAGTACACAACTGTTCTCTAATTTTGATTTTGTCCAGTTGTAGTTCAAATAAATACCATCACAATTTAAAAAGAAATCTCTGTAATATCAAATATATAATACTAATACTACAGAAACAGAAATAATGATAAAAGTATAAAAGTGCAATAATAATCTTACATGTTACTGCTATTAAGCTCATTTTGCCATTTTAATATCCCCTCATTGGTTACACTGTCATACCATATAATTTCAGAATTTTTAATTGCTTCATGAATATTTTCTGTCAGATATTTTACGAAATAAATTAAGTTATTAATTTGTTCACTTTTAATCGCGTTTTCAACATTTAATAACCAGCCATCAAACTTATAAAATTTCGCAACAAGTATTAGTGCATCTGCAAACCTTCTTACTTCCTCCTGAGATTCAAGTATGATATCCCAGATACCTTCTCTTTCAGTAATTACAGTACCAAGAACCTTAACACCATGATTATGTGCTGCGTTAATCCATCCATAGGGTGGTATAGTTATGAAGTGATGACTAAAGTACACGAATGTATCAATACCACTCCAATGATAAAATAGATAAGAATTGTAAGACCTAGATCCATTTATAAATCTGGAAAGAATTAAGTTACGCATAGTATACATTTACAACAGAATAAATATAATGACTGCAGAATAAATATATTACCTGTCTTCTAGGTAACCACCTTTCATATCGTGACAAAGTAATGTTCTAGGTTGTCGTTCTCTGTCCAATTTCTCCAACTGCATTTTTTGTGTACTTACTTCAGAACCACTGTACACGTAGTCTGTCGTATCTCTCAGCTCTTTAATTTCTGGCCACGGTTTTAGATTACCCACATTGCTATACAATTCCTGCAAGTTTTTGAAAGGTTGTGATTCTGTGGTTTCGCTAGCCATTTTCTCTGACTTGCACCGTGCCGCAGACTACTTTGAAATAGTTTGCAGTTTATGTCGAACAATGGTCTTCCTTTCGATTCGCATCACCGGAAGAATTGCAACCATATGAAGCATTTGATGCGTTGATAATGGTCACAACAAACGGAACCAGCATATCAATTTGCGACTTACTTTTTAATGTTGTTATCTACCAGCTGCCAATGTGCGACGATAGATTCATTTCTTTATCTGGAACAAAACAGATAACATGAAATTACGAATCTGTTATGCGTATATCAGTATTTATACTGTGCACGTGTTACGATTGCTTTAACCTTGCGACGAACACACTCATTTACGGAAATACTTACAGAAATACATTTTCTTCCATATTTCACAATAATTATGTCGGCACGAGCAATCTGAAGCACGTGCAATTGAATAAATGCTCCAACACATAATATTAATTGAATGTTTCATTAAATTGACTCATTGCTCGCCACTTAACCTTTACGTTCAGAATGACAGATCACTATACGTCAGCGCCACCAGAGATATCCATGACTCTTTCTCACTCTGTTCTTCAACTTTATTTTTCCTCCTGTCACTTTTTATTGTACTTGCATAATTCTTAATTTAGAGATAATATCAAAATTCTACAAATTCAACGATATCAAAAATATCAAACTATACTTGTTGTATATTAATTTCAGAGATATTTATGACTCTTTTTCACTTTGTCCTTCAACTTTATTTCTCCTCCTTCCTCTTTTTATCGTATTAGCATAATCTCTCAATTCAGAGACAATATTAAAATTCTAAAAATTTAACGACATCGAAAACTAAAAAATATATTTATTATTTATTAACTTTATGACGAAAATCGGAGCAATGAAATTATATTTCAAGAACAAATATTTTGAGTCACGAAAAATTTCCAACTTTACTTGCATCGTGAATTTAAGACCACATGTATATATTATTTATTAACATTGTAACAACTGGCTGTTTTCAGTAATGATTTTCATCAGAGACCGGCAAACTCTATTACAGATTTACAAAAATGTGATTTTTCACCGTGTACAAAGAAAACTAATAGAATTCGTAAAAAAGCAAGAAGACGGAATACCAAATATGTAAATAAATTAATGCAAATGAACACTGATATTAAAACCGATTATAATTCGTTTCTCAACAGTCATAATTGATTGAAAAATCGGTCACCAATCAAGGACAATGCGGTGATAGTGAGAATTGAAAGGAAATCGACGTATCGTAAGACCTTCCTTTATTTAGCGTACAACCTTTGTTTTTAAGAAGACAGGAGATCCCACGGATACAAGACAGACACAACGGTTCGTGTATGTGTGTGCGTGTGTGTGTGTATGTGTGTGTATGATTGGAAGACGTACGAGATCGTTACGAAAAAGATTAACGAAAAAACGAACTGCCATGATGGTCCCGCGTGATCTCGTGATGATCCCACTTATACGTTTTCACATCTCTTTTATGCAACCTCATGTTTGAATCTGATTCGAGACAATGCGCAGATTGTCCGCAATTCCTTCGTAAAGCGACGCAAATTAAAAAAAAATTACAAGCCATCGTTATTCCACAGTGGTCGCCGAACACTCGAGAGATCATTCAGTTTCCTATTTCGAACTATCGTTGAAAGTAAAAATGTCGATTGCAGGCCATGTCACGGTGATACGTACGATTACGCGGACTCGTCAACGAAAAATGCTGATCATCCTGTGTGTGACGAAACTGATTGAAATCTAAATTGAAATCGTCGCGAGAAGCGAACGTCATCGACGATGTCTAATTGTAAGTTTTCGAAACTCAGCTCGATTTTCTATGGTGGTTTTACACCTAATTGAACGAACCTTGTTCGTAGAAGTTTACGGCGAATCTTGCGATATATATATCTTCTTTCTACGTGTATTGTAAAACTTTTAGACAAAGTTACCTTTTTTTTTGAATGTATATATATCACATTGGATCTCTACCTAACTATGCGACTAACTATGAACAATTAACTAGTCATCGTAAAAGTATAATTACAACCCTTCGCTTCTCCTCGTATATATCTGATTCTGCATCGTGATCGGTGCTACCGTAAGATCGTTAACTATTTGTACGCTGTAGAGATAGATCCTCTTTATAATCAAATGTATCTGTAGGTAATGCGTTCGAAGATAGATGGGTCATATTTTTTTTTTTTTTTTTGACGACGACGATATTACACACGTGATTGCCACCATTATTGCTTAGAATTTATCAAGTGAAATTTAGTAAAGTTTACGAAATTGATCGAAGTTTGAAAAAAGAAAAAAAACATATAATTTCCTTCAACGTATTGCAATTATAACTATGCTATGAGAAGTACAATTTACTACAGTCAATTTCAATCTTCGTTAAATACAATTAAAAACAACGTAATCGCAATGAAAATGATACAATACCATTCGATTCTATAAATGAGCGAAGAGGTGATCCATCTATCTCCCAATGTTACGTTTATATTAGCGCAACGTTACCAGAAATCATATTAGCAGTATATTATATTTATATTAGCAGTTTATATAACTGACAATCCGGAGTTATTTCTTTTCGTCCAAGTAATCCCGTGTCTCTTGCGATTGTAGCCATTACACAGGGAAAAACGTACGCTAGAAGGTAAAACGAAGAGGCGAATTCGTATCTACAAAAGGTGCACAACGATTGAAAACGCTTGGGTATCCTACTCCTATCTATAATTTGTAATGTTATATGTATATATTATAATATTGCGTAGTTATACGTACAATATTATCTCTTGATATTTGGTTCCTTGTGTAATGCATGTAGGTACGTGTACATGTATATATAATATATATGTGTATATATATATATATATATATGAATATATAATATATGTATGTATTAAATCAATTATATTGTGCTTGTTGATGTATTAAATCAATTATATTGTGCTTGTTGACACAAAATTTCACTTTGTCTTTGTTATTAAAAGGAGTACATGTACATACATAGATCAGGAGGCTATTTAAGATTGAATTCAGCCGGCTACTGATTTTTGTTGCATATCCTTTTGTTTTTCTTGTCGTCGCTCCGTGTTTAACAGAAGCATCGTACTTCCTCTTTCATCTTGCTTCGACGCACATCTGCTGATTAGGAATATTAGTTATCCTCACGAGAACTTACACCGACTCTATGCTTCTGTCGTCTCGACATTCGCTAGTTTATTCTTACGTTAAATCGTTTACTATTCTAATCGGCTTGTCTTAAAACTCGGGTATTCTCACGCTGATAGTTTATTCACTGGTGATATGATGTAAAATGTACGAGACGTTCGGCCAGATCGACTCGAGCTTTCCATCTTTGCCTGGTGAATTTCAGTTCGATGTTGATCGCGCACATTTTAACAATGCGTGTAAAATTCGCGTGGAGTAACTTCTACGTGTCAAGCTTTCCCTCCACTTAGTGAAAAAATAACTTCGAAACTTCCCTGAGGTTAAGCAAATAATTTTTTAATCGTAATTTGATTTGATTTAATCTCGTAGGAAATCGTGATTAAATTTAGTGTTCTTCTACACACTTTCAGTGAAATATAAATATTTTCATAAGTTTGCAAGTCTGAAAAAACGAACAACGAGCCTCGATTCGGGGAAATTGATTTAAATTCGATGTTGCAATAATAATATAAATATAATAATATAAAATATTAATTTTAATTAATTTTAATAATATAAATAATATAATAATATTAATAATAAAAATAACAAATAACATGATAATATAAATTATTAATTTTGATTAATTTTAATAATATAAATAATATAATAATATTGATAATAAAAATAACAAATAACATGATAATATAAATTATTAATTTTAATTAATTTTAATAATATAAATAATATAATATTATTAATAATAAAAATAACAAATAATATGATAATATAAATTATTAATTTTAATAATATAAATAATATAATAATATTGATAATAAAAATAACAAATAACATGATAATATAAATTATTAATTTTAATAATACAAATAATATAATGATATTAATAATAAAAATAATATAATATAATATAATATAAATTATTAATTTTAATTAATTTTAACACCGCTATTAATACCAATATCCTTAATAAATTCTTCTCGGTTACGGACTTTCACCGGCAATCGAAAATTGCTTGTCTTGTTGAACAAACGCGAGACAGGAACACCTCTCTCGTCGATATCCAATTTCCAATAATGAAACTAAAACGAAAGAAAAAAAAATAAAATCGAAACAATGTTTTATACACGGCGGAGAGAGGCAGCCGGATAAATCAGCCGGCGCGAAGATCGTTTCGCGAGCCAATCGGGCTCGCTCGATAAACTTGCCGAACAGTCTCGTACAGCTCGTATGTATTTCGCGGAAGTATGTAGCAGGGACGTTATTCGTTACAACCCATCGTGACTACAGGGTCGAACGGAACGGCCGTGTACAGGATATGGCTACGTCTCGACTAGGATATGACTGACAGATATGAATGACACGAGTATCATCTACGCGATCTCACGACGAAGATCGACAACTATCCAAGCTCTGTAACGCTTTTCTCCTTTTTTAAAAACGGGTACTCGATTGAACAGCTCTCGTACCCAGGGAGGGGGGGCGTATTAATTCGTACGTTGTAGGCCGACGTCTACAGAATTGTGTAAGTTTTGTTATATCGTTAATAACATATTGCGGACCGTCAGGCTGGGGAATATATCTCGCGTCTTGTCTTGCATTATCGAAGGCTGTTTACGCAGGATCGATTCTGATAGATGCGCAGTGCGCGGTATGCACACGGGCGGCTAAATCACACGGGGCAATTTAGTTCATTTTAAAGGATCAAATCAATGTGAATTTAATTAATGAAATTATTAATAATAGTTGAAATAGTAATATAATAATATAATAATAAAATAATATAATAAAAATAATAAATAATAATATAATATAATATAAATAATAAAAATAATATAATAATATTAATAATAAAATAATATAATAAAAATAATATAATAATATAATAATATAAATAATATAATAATATTAACAATAAAAATAACAAATAATATAATAATATTAATAATATAAATAACATAAATAATATAATATAAAATTAATCATAATTAATAAAATTAAAATTAATAATGAAATAAGCGACAAAAACGGCCAAATATTTCTAGCACGCAGGCAACCAATCTCCAGAGTGATTAGTTCATTTTAGAATAAAATTAACACCGATAGAGCGATTGTTCTCACTCTTTAGAGTGATTGTTCACTTAAGAGAGTGATATTAACACTGATAGAGGCGGTTAAATCTCTAAGAAGATCGACAATTCACTCTAAAAGATAAAATTAATACTGACAGAAAGAGAGACAGCCAAAATATTTCTTGCATCGATGGCCTGACAAAACTAACCCCGTGATTTCTCATACATATCTCGCCTCGATGCAAGCAAAGGAAGCCTCGCCGCTGAGAGAACAATCCGACGTTCCGCAATGCGTTAATAACATCGTGGCCGCGCGACCACTCGCGTTCTCGAAACACCGTACAAAACATCGTACAACAGATGAGAGAACCAGAACGATCCCTTAAATAGTTGTTACTTGAAGAAGTAAATAGCGCGCGGGACCTATCGAACCTACGGTCCAACGATCTAACGATCTACGGGTGTCTACATAGAAAACGTGCGACCGAAACTGGCCGAGATATACTTAGTGATGATCGTCGATATACTCGAGGATTCGCCGGGATGAAGATAGATCGTCGGTGGCGCTCGTCTCATAGAAAAATTGTCCTGCTCGAGGATCTATCTATCTTCTTGCGCGAATCTCGAGAAAAAAAAAAGGTCACGAGACGTAAGATACACAAAACAGAGCGTTTCTGAACAAGATAATTTTTCTTTTTTTTTTT